GACAGGCCAAGGATGTTGACAGAGGCGTAGGCATGACACTAGCGTTGTCTTCTGTTTCAAGCCACAAAAGCGATTTAAAATCTTATTAAAATCTTTACAAGAAAAAAAGATTGAATTAGGTTTTTTTGTAGGGATCTGCTAACGTGGTTTTAAGATGAGAGGGAATGGCCTCAAGTTATGCCAGGAGAGGTTCAGGTTGGCTATTAGGAAACATTTTTTCTCAGAAAAAGTGATCAGGCAGTGGCACAAGCTGCTCAGGGAGGTAGTAGAGTCACCATCCCTGCAGGTGTTCAAGAACCATGGAGATGTGGCACTAAAGAATATGGTTAGTGGGCATGGTGTGATGAGTTTGTGGTTGGACTACATGATCTTGATAGTCTTTTCGATTCTGCCCAAGAAGCCAAAGCTGAAGGCACGGCATGGCAGCAGCACTCACTTGAAGCCAGCTCCTCATGCTGCCCAGCTACTCCTTGTTCCTTGGAGCTGAAGGGCTGAGCAGGTCTCACTGCGCTCACATAATCTGCAGTGTGCAGGGCCAGCACCTCACACCAGGATGATCCACGCAACAGACAGGGATCGTTGCCATGGCCCAGGTGGCAACTGGGTGAAACGTTGTGAAAATTATAGTCAAATTGTTTTCATGGTGGCTTGTACAAAACTAACTCACCCAAATCCATCCTTTGGCATTCTCTGCCTAGTATATGTAGATTTTTCTTATTACAGCATTGATACCAGCTTTGTGTGCAACTCAGCAGACAGCAAAGCATAAGCTAAAGCAACAGCTCACCAGCAGATTTTCACAGAACTTCAGGTGTTGGAAGGAACCTCTGGAGGCTATCTAGTCCAAACCCCTGCTAAAGCAGATTCCCTAGAACAGCTGTGCTCAAGAACCTCTTCACCAGCCAGTTTTTAGATTGGAGCCTGTTCAGTGTGAATGCACAGCTGCTGTGGTGCTGGACTCCAGGGATGCCAGAGGAGCCACTCCCTTAAGAAGGTTCTGGTGAAGGCAGAATTCTCAGCTAGGAAAGAGGAAGGGCCAGGCTAAAGGGCAAAGAGTTACAGTCCTGTTGTACATGCGTTGGTGGTGTCCTGGCTATTCTGACACTCAAAAAAAAAGAAGAGAATTTCAAAGGGAGGGTGAGCATGAAAGAAGAGGTTACCTCTAGAAAGCAGCCTGTATCCACCAGGTAAGGGAGGAAGAAAGAAGCAGAAGGAGCTGGATGAGCTTTACCTCCTTAGCACCATTTGCAAGCAGACAGGTGACATGGTAGCTTTGTTCCTCCTTTCCCAGCAGTGCAGGATCCCATCAGCTCCCAGGGCAACAGGCACAGCAGAACACCATCTTCCCCAGATACCAAGTGTGTCATTTGTAACTCAGCAGCTGCTCATTAAGAACAAGAGCAAAATGGTCAGTGTTTTTCCCATGAAATAAGGGTTACTTGACCAGAGCTTGAAATGTGATCCTTTTTGGAAGTAAGAGATAGTACACATAGGGAAAACAAATAGGTTCTGAAAAATGAAGAAACATCTCCTATCAAACTCATGAATCATAATGCATTAGCCTCTGAGGCTTGCCTGCTCAGGCTCTTTTTCACATTGCATATGAGCAGTGGGGGGGATATTCCTTAAGAGAGAGAAGGGAAGATGCTCTCACAGCTCTGGGGATCTGACATACAAAATATCGCCTCTAACCAAAACAACCAATTCAGATGTGAGCAATGTCTATTGAAGCACAGAAATAGCAACAGCTGATGTCATTAACAGAAGTAGGAAGGTGAATAGCAACAGGGGAAAAAAAAAAGGATGGAAATGAGAACTACAGCCCAGAATCACAGAAGGGATGGTAATACATAAGCAAAGAACTATAAAAAGCAAAACTGTCTGAGAAAGGGAATAATTGTCATCTTGCATAAAAATGCAAATACGTACCACCTGCGTGGAGCACTTCCACCAGTATGAATGTTGCCTGGCAGGCGTGCAACGCATAGCAAAAACTGGTTCTGTGAAGGAAGAAATCCAAGCTCTGCTGACAGCCATCCACAAACCCACTAAGTAAAAGCCCCAAACAATTAACATAGTGTAAGCATTCAAAACAGATTACCTAAGTCAAGGATTGATCCAAGGACAGAATTCCCCTGTGATGAGTCATGTACACCTCAAGCACAACCATATCGAAGTCTGTCTGTGAGCATTAAAGAAGACAAGGCAGAAAGAGAAGTTCCTTTCCTACTCAGGCTTTGCAGGCTTGAGTGCCACTGGCAGGTACCATAAAGCCTTGGCAGATCAGATGACGCTTAAAGCCACCGTTCGTTTGCTTTCCTGTGAGAGGTTTTAGGGGTAGGAAGACAACAAGAAGCACTGCACACTAGCAGTGAGCAGGCAGAGCTTACTTGCCATAATCTGGGCACTGTAGCAGTGCCCAGAACCAGCCTACTTGCAGGTTAGTCTGGATAATGCTGGTGCCCTGCAGCACGCTGCCTGCTCATTGGGTGTGGGCTCCTTTTGCTGTTTGCAGTGGCCAGGTCACACCCTTCATGTCATCAGGCTGTACTATATTTGCACCAGCAAGGCCATTCAATGAAGCTGAGTGGCGCTGGCCTGGCCATGGGGAGCAAAACACTCCTCTTCTTTGCAGGCACTGTGGAGAAGCGTGGAGAGTTTTGTTAGTGCAATGCACCGAGCTACAGGGGCAGCAACATTTGCCGTAAGCAATCTCTAATACCAACAATTGAACCCAAGGATGACATGGAACTGTGTCAGGGGAGGGGCAGCTGGGGCTCAGGGAAAGGGGCTGCACCACAGGGCGGTGGGCATGGAACGCGATGCACAGGGCTGTGGCACAGTCCTAAGTGCTGGAATTCAAGGAGCATCTGGACAGCGCTCTCAGACATTGGGTTTGGTTTTGGTGGTGCTGTGTGGAGCCAGAAGTCAGACTCCATGATCCTTGTGGGTCCCATCTAACTCAGGATACTCTGTGATTCTAATATCTGGTTATGCTCACATTATCCGATAATGCATTAAAGTGACGATGACCTGGAATGATACTTTAAGGTAGAAAAACAGAGTGTGTTTTGCAACATTTATTTCTTCCACCTACAGATCTGCCCTTACAGTCAATGGTCCAATGTGACCATCCTTTCTTTCTAAATACTACAGTGCATCTTTGTTCCAGGAATGCTTTTAAGGAACAGAACACTGTTCTCCAGGAAATCTGTGTTCTCAAGTTCACAGAACTCATACTAAAGCCACAGCTTGATCTCCTTTTATTGGTAATAAAAGCTAGTAACTCTGGAAAAGTCTGTATTGACTTAACAGCAAGAGAAATAGCTTCTTTCAAAATAATAAAAAAAATATCCCTGGCCCTGAAAAAATAATGGTTTGATTTTTCAAAATTAATGTTAAAAAAAAAAAAAAACCAGCTCCCTACAGAGTCAAACCAATTAATTAATAGAACATATTACACAGCAGATATCTCCACCAAAGGGATAGCAATAGGCCTCTGGGGAAACTAAACACACCATTCTCATACCAAATAAACAGGTCCTTCTGCCATTAGCCTTTACATTGCTTTTGATGTTGTACCGTGTGTTAATTATTTTCAAATCACAAGTGCAAACACTCATCCTGATTGGAAAATTAGCAGATTTCAAACTCAGGTAATTTGCCCCTAATGAGGAACTTGTTGAGCGGAATTTAACAATTAGCTCACACCCTTTGCTGGCTGTGTATTGCAAGTCTACAAGAAAGTACAGAAACTCACTTTTTACAGTAATTCGCAATAAAAGATGGATGTGAAGTCAGATGTTGTCTTTGTGCTGTTTTCTGCTCCTCTTCTAACTCTTGGAGCCATGGTTCTCAAAGAAGGGTACAGCCCATGCAGTATAGACCTCCTGTATTCTCTAATCCTTCTTCTCTGGATCAGCCTATTTAGATGCCTTTTGCTATATGCCAAGCAAGAGAGATTTAATTACTTCAAAAAATAGAACTTACAACTTCTGGGTCTATATAGACAATACATAGGTAGAACCTGCTCCTGGGCTCCCTGCCCCTGGCAAAGCACAAGAGTAATTGCTGGCCAGGCCTTCAGTTGTGCCTGACTGTCTACAGGGGAAAACGGACACTTTTTGGCTGCTCAATCAGATTAAACTAAAGTCATTTTATCCTCCCATTAATTTTGTCCATATGTCTGACTGTACAACAGGCACTGTGCAGTCAGATCCCTTTGTAGTTGCAAAGAAAAATTGCCATTGGAAAATTTTTCTCTTTCTTAGAAATGACCAAGAATGTCCAAAATAGTGTCAAGATTTTAAGTCTGATTTCTCCCCATTTAAAAATAAAAATTAAAAACAAAACTTTCTTCAAATTTTTTTCCCTCTTTTTCAGATTACTTTCTGCAGCATTGTTCTCTTTCTTGTTTGAAGCACAATATAAAATTGTATTGTTGGGGTAGAAGCAGCTAAACAGCATCTAACTTATCTAATCATTTAACTCACATGAACTTGTAGATTTATTTTTGATCTTAATTGTGATTTCTAAATACACAAAGGTAAGGAGAAAAGGCATCTCCTAGAGCCTGATCCTAAGCTGATACAAAATTCTCTTCTCTTACCTCTTAGGGCAAGTTCATCAAATTTCCTGCTTTCTGTGTTGTTTTTCCTTACTCAGACTGCCTGAGGTCCAACCTGGAGGCCATGACTTGCAATGTTCTCATTTCAAGAACATCTGAATGAATGTACCACAGTGCAGGCCACCTGCTGCCCTACATACTGGCTCCTAGATGCCTGCCCTGTTAGACATGGGCATCTACATCGCATGGGCTATTAGTCTGAGCCTGAGGTGGGGAAGAAATTCTTAATTTACAAAGCTCAAAAAGATGAAAGAATTTGTAACAATAAAGCCACACATTCTACTGCATTCATGTAAACTGTAACTCAGGAAAGCTCTTAGGCACATATTTAATTATATCTAATTTTGCTCTCAAGACGGTTCTGTGTAAGCAAGTGACTTCTGGAGTGAGACTACATAGTAAAAAGGAAAGTGTCTGCTGTCAAATGTAAAGTCCACTTGACAATCACCACCTGACAGTACATTTCATTGCTGAAGAATGTCAGGTCAATACAACAGTAGGTTTTAAATATCTGCCCAAAAGCATAACAGCTAGTGAAACCTATAGAAAAATCAGGCCTACACCGATGTTTACAAGATACATTTAGCAGACATTTCAGAGACATGACAAAGACCAGACCAAAAGTGATAGAAGAAAAGATCTGTTTTCATTGAATAAATGCCCCAAAAGAAGAATGGGTGAAGGCTCTTGCTGTGCCTTCAGGTGCCTTCATAGGACAGACAGCGACCACCATTTCTCCATATGCTCCATCTGTTTTCAAAAGTGATCATGCTTCAGCACATGGACCTGTTCTTCCTTGCAACAGATCCCACTCACCAAGACATCACCTTTACAGAACTGCTATAGAAAACATTTTCCAGTAGTGCTCAATTGATCTAGTAATTAAAGTCTTTTCCACAGCAGTTCACAAAATACCTTACCAAGTCAACATGTTTTATTTTCCAATTTTGAACCTTCTTCAGCTTACAGACAACCATTCCCAATACTGTTATGAAGCACTGTTCCACAAGTTGATAAGAGAAACATTACAAATGTATCTGTGACCTAAACTGATATAAAGCAACATTAGGAATATGCCAATAGCCATAATGTTAAATTATATTAAGATTTCTCACATTAAGATATCAGCTGATTTGTTAATTCTACTGACACACTCCAAAGTAGAGTGAAAATTTTCACCTAAATTTTTCAAGGAAAAAAAAAAAGTAGATTCTCTCACATTAATGCAGTTCAAGAATCGGTATTAATTTCATGGATTGCGTGCTTAGAAAAAAAATCATATAAAAATTGTTTCAACCACTTCAAACAAAAAATAATTCAGTTTTTTCTATTATCATGGAATTCTCCCATTGTTAAAGAAAATACTATTTTTTACCTCTATCAGAAAGAAAATGTTCTGTTTAATTCAACTTCTTTTTCTTCTTCCAGCTTATTCACAAGCTAAAGCTTTTGGAATATTCCATTTTCCACAGCCAATTCCCAAAGTAAAAGTATTTTTGGAGCTCCATGTAAATGAGAAATAAAGGCCCACTACCTGCCGTGCTTGTCTCTGATGAAAAGTTGTATTTGATACCATATTGGTAAAGGATGTTATTAACATCTTTTCCAACATGAAGTGTCCCTGTCTCCTTATGGAATAAACGTTCCTGCTATATGGATGAATTATTTACTTCTAGGGATCAGACCAGATGAGGAGAAAGGAGCGCTAGCATATAGTTCTGCAGCTCCTATCCCAATACACAGCATATCCAAGGGCTTACCAAACATGCTGTCATATTACAAATTATAGTGAGCTGAATCAAAATAATTAGGCTCGTTGAAAAACAATGGGATCTTTTGAAATAAACAAACAAACAAACCAACCAAAACTGTTTTCAGCAAAATGGTTACAAACACTGAGCAGGACAGATCTGGGAGGTGGAGAAGCTGGAGAGGTAGGTTTTTGAAAGAGATTCTTTTCAACAGTACTCATTCCCATAGCCATCTTGAATGCAAGGATCTTGAGTATCATAATTCCCATTTTCTACATCAGAAAACCAAAGTATTACATAACACCACAGAGTAGTAACAGAACACATCTAAGGCTGATTCCTACTTTCTTTTTCCAGGCCTGCAACAGGGAGTCTCCGTTCTCTAGCAAGAGCATCAGCCAATGACATATTTACAAATGGCAACTGTGTTTTTACCAGTTTAGGAGGTGAAATGCCAGGGAAAATAAAAAGTCTCATCCTAAAGAGATCATCATTTATGTAGGTGGAGAGCCCATATCAGTCTGAGGTCTTCAAAACAAACATTTACTGATGAGACTTGCTATGGTGACCTTGTAACACTGAGTGAGAGCTGATAAATTTTAATGCAGAAAGGATGGGAATATGCTGTTTTAGACATATGAGAATAATCCAGGCTACCTGAAACAGAACTAAATGAAATCAAGAGATGGAACAGGAACAGCTTCAAATTAAATCACAGCAATTCTAATAGCTAATTAAAAAAAAAAAAAAAAAATCACATTATGAGATCATTTGACTACCATCAAGTGCTGAAGAATAAAATACATGGTATGAAAACACTCACACCACGTACATATCACTGGAAAATAAATAGGGTTATCTTTCCACTTGTTGGTCCTTTCAGCACAGCTCACAGGCATTTCTATCAGAAGTTGTTCTGACATGCACTGGGGCCATACACAGTGAAAGAAGCTGAGCTCCCAGCTCCTGCTGGCAGGAACAGAGCAGGAACACTGGAAGCCTCTAAAACCCTCGCAATCCATCTTCATTAACTGCGACATTCAGGGTAGGAGTCTGCTTCTTGATCCCAGCTTCTTCAGTGATACATTCTGGAGGGTCAAGCTCATTGTATCTTCTCCGATAGACCACTCTTGAGATTAAAGTTATTAGAAACATTTCCATGATGAGGATCTGGTGGCTTATATCTGGGGAAAAAAAAGAGGGAAAAAAAAAAAGAGGAAGAAAGACCATTTTATTAATCCTTGTTTGTGCAAAAGGAACAGAAGTTACCACTCTGTTCCCATAACAGAGTGGCTCTCATTCTCGGCATCAAAATCATTTACAAAGTTACAGTTTTGCTCCTCAATAAGCATGCAATAAATCACATCCAAAATCCAACAGATTTAACAGTAATCATGCATGTCAACTTCTTTTCCTCCAGTTTCTAATCACAACTCTTAAAAACTCATTATCGAGTTTTTCCTCTCTGACAGCTATAAAAATTACGTTCATGTTTTTTTAAATAAAAGCTGAGATTCTCCAGAAGCTATGTGAAATCCCATGAAATTCATATTTGGGGAAAACACTAGATATTGCAGTTAGCAAAACTAAACTGATGCCTCTGTAAGAAAACAAAGAACATTCTTTCCAAAAGAACTTACACGCTCCTCTTGCTGGAGAAGAGAGTGGTGGAGCACAAGGGATAATTCTTTGCATAGCCAAAATGTTGATAATAGCTGTCTGCAAGTGGTTCAGAATGAGGATAAACTACACCAAAAAGAGAAAACAGATGCCTTAGTTACCAGAAAAAAAATAAAAGGATTATATTTCACACAACTATTCTGCTTTCATAATAGACTCTCTTTTAGCTCATTCTTTTATCTCATTCCTCCTTTCTTGCTCTCCCTTTCTTCCGTCTCCCACCAGGCTGCCTGCCATCCTGCACAATTCATCTTTAGGTCAGAATGCTATTGCTCGAAATGCAAGTATTAAATAAAACCTCTGTTTTAGAAGTGTTTTCCCAGCTCTTCATGTGGGAAGTGCAACATAGAGAGAGCTCCCAGTTGGGATTTTAAACAATATTGAGCTCTGAGTAATAAGTAAAATGTCTTAAAAGCTTCCTGTTAATCTAAGAGCTTATGCTCTTACTTAGTGGGAAGAAGCACTTGGAGAACGATATTTCTGTTGTCTCATCTTTTTGCCACAGCAGGGACATGCAGCGTTCCCTCAGTTATATATAAAAGACCTCTTTGCCAAAAGAGAAAAAGGTCTCTCCAGTTTGGGTTCAGCAATAATCACGCTTTATTTTACCTACTATTCACTAAGCTAGGCCTTCACCAGATACATCAAAGTGTCTCTAGACGCTGGTGTAACTCTCTCAGTGTAAACATTCACACTTGCAGGGTTTGCCATCTTTAGCCTAGATTCACGTCTGTGTAGCTTTGCATGTGCAACTATCCTGCTTGCTGCATTTATAAGGGTTTTAGATCTTGTTAACAGAGCCCTTAGCACACCAGCCTTTCTACACGTCCTGTACTAGAAGGCTGTATGGCCAAGAATTCTACTGTACTCTCTTCTGGACGATGTGGGAGAGGGTGGACCTGCCCCTGCCTATAACCTATCTGGGTCTGTTCCTTACTGAGTCCCAGCAGTAATATTTTAGATAATAATTTTCCTTATTATCTAACTCTCAAGTGCACAGTGGCCAAGAAAAATATTGTCAAAACAAAATGACTTGCTGAAACAGTTCAAACAAAACCCACTCACACAATGTTCCACATCCTCTCCTGGTTTTTAAAAGTACACACCAGCTTTTTAACATTGTATTTCAGGATGCGGCATCTAAAAAGCCTCCTTTGAGCCTTGCAGAAGGTGCTGTTTTGATTTCAGCTGCCCAGAGATGAATGGATTTCACACAGCTCACATCTCCAGCATGTTTGAACGACCAGAGGTAAATTGGCTCAAACTGACACTGAACAGCAGCCAAGGAAAGTGCTTCAAAGGGACACAGGCTTAATCAGATAAAAATATGCCATTTCACAGTGCATTTAATGGAAAAAAAAATACTCTGATCCTTAAGCAAAGGACTAAAAACCTGGATAGGTGGTGTTACATCAACAGTAAGATCAATTCTTATCGGAAATACTGAATTTCTCACCTGATAAAGAGCAAACTTTGGGATGATCTTCTTACAGTTAAGGAGAACCCTAACTTGCTGAAACATGATTCCAACTGGCCACAGAGCAATAATGGTAAGGATAGCAATGAAGCAGCTAATCCATATTGCAGCTCCTTTGGGAGATAACTGAAAAGCAAATCAAACATACGCGTAAACCTTTATAGCACAAATGTTGCTATTTCCAGACAGAGCTGCAAACTGAATGATGCAGACATTAAAATGCCTGTTTCTGTCTCCATAAAAGCTGATGTCAGTAACAGTTGGTGGAGTTTGCATGAAAAAACTGTGTGATACCATCAGAGTGCTACCAGCTACAGTAAGAAATGACACAGCCCCTCTATCTGACCTCAGCAGCACCCGAGAGCTCTCAGCTGGCTCATGTACTCAGCATGCCATCTGAGGCATCATCTATTTATCTACTATTAAACAACAACAAAAATACTACTGTTATTTTGAATTATCTAGGAGTTGCACAATTATTAGCAGATACAGTTTTCAATCATCTTGCAGCTTACGCAGTACCATTCCTCTGCTTTGTACTACCTGCCATCATTTGCAGAAAAGCATAGAATTAGGCTTTCTGATTACACATCTGTGCATACACTTGTTTCTTAGAGCTGTACCTTACAACACACAGGGTGAGTATACCCCAAAGTGTAGTCCTACTATTCCAGCTATACAGAGCCTAACCCACCCCAACACCCAGCCTCTTTCCATGAGAGACCAGGAAACACGTTCTGAAGTGAGATACTTCAGTCAGAAATGCTCTCAGGTTCCAGAGTTTAGCTGTAGGCTAAGATACTAAAATCAAACTAAAAGCTATGGGTTCTGTAGACCATCTCTGATTTAAATATTCACTTACATTGGAAAGGCTGTAATTGCCATTGGTCCAAAGCACTGTTGACAAAAACATGAAAACAGGTCGAAATAAAGCAAACTGGAAGGTGCCCAGCTTCAGCCAAAAGAGGGATCGCCTGACCAAAAAAAATATTTATATATATCACAGAGGGAAAAATCTTATTAGCAACCTTTATAGCATTTTTCTGATGTTGTCAAACAGCAAAACTTTTCCATTCCTACTGCACACAGCTAAGGTTTAGGGAGGAACAGCTTCAAGATTCAAACTTTTCAAGAATTACCCAAATGCCTATTTAAAGACAGGTCTATTAAAGTGCCTCCAAAAGCAGTAATTTTCTTGTTTGGCAACAATTAAGATTAACCAGTGCTGAGCAAAATCACAGAATCATACAATCACTTAGGTTGGAAAAGATCCTCCGAGATGATCTAGTCCAACCATCCATCTATCACCACCGTTGTGGACAACACGGTGCACATGGATCTAAACCATGTCCCTCAGTACCACATTTACACGTTTCCTGAACACCTCCAGGGACAAAATGGGATGTTCCTTCCTGCCCCAGAGCAAACTGCAGAGCTGGCAGAAGCATAACCAGTTCTGAACAATGCCACTACCTGCTGCTTTCTTGCCTTGCTATTTCAGATCTCTGGAGAGACTGGGAAGAGCAACCTTCAGCTGAACAGCAAAGTACTACAGCACTCTGATCCCTGCCACAGAGCCCATCTTACTCCTATTGGCTTTGAAGAACAACATGACAAATACTGCAGTCCCTGCAATGCCAGGAGTTGTTTTCCTTGCAAATGCAAGTCTGCCTTTTTTCTTTTTTTTTTTTTTTAAACCGTCAGATGTTTTTTTCTGACACATCTCTACCTACTGTACAGCCCGTTACTTTGCCTGTCTATGGAAGCAACATAAAAGTGATCTTTCTCTGTCACGGCTTGCTCATTTAAAACAGAAACAGCAACAAAAAACAACTCATACCCTCTAATAGGAAAGGGCTAGAAATCAGAAGCAGAGACAGGAGAAGAGTTTCCCTGAACTACAGATTCCAAAGGAGGAGCCTAAAACCCTCAGCAGAGTAAAAAGCCCCCTTGTGCTGAGACTAACATCTTCAGCCCTCTCGATAGTTGTGGATAATCAGGAAGGCAGAGTAGAGGAGCCTCTCTCCATCCTTCAGCTACCACAAGAAAATACAGAGATGGAAAGAAAAATGAATGCACTGGTGACATTACAGATCTGTAGCACGTTGCTGTCCCATAGACTTCTTCAGCATTGACTATTGACACAAGCCTGAATCAGTGCCCATCAAAATCACCATAAGTCATTTCAATCCACATCAGTACTTGCTGATTTTACATAATTGCATTACATTCCTTTGTTGTTGTTTTTTTCTTGGTGCCCCCTCTATGTAAATAAATACCGATATTCCATTAAAATAAATTAATGGAAATAAGAATTAAAATCATAATACCAAATGTGGTAGCTGAAAGAAAAATGATTCCAATAAAAATGTAGGATTTTTTTTTTTTCCCAAAAGCATACCTTGAGCTTTTCCTTTCAATGGAAAGGAATTGTGCTCTGAGGAATCTGCTCTCCTGCTCTGTGCCAGGAGGAAAACCCTGGAAAGTATGAGGCTTTCAGGCTGGGAGCAGCATATGAATGGTGGGGTGACTTTGACCAGAGGTGGAGCCCCAGCAGGCAGTACTCCAAGAGGGCAGGGTTTGTGAGGAGGGGCAGCTCTCCATCCTTACCACGCTTTTCAACCGAAATCTCAATTATTAGATTTTCTAGAGTGAAAATTCTTTTTCTTCTTACCATAGAAAAGGTTTCCTGAAAACCAACAGGATTATCTGAGGAGACACCACAGTGCTAAACGTTACTACGTGTCGGAAACATGGCATTGGGTTAAACCGAGTTACCTCATGCTCTGGCCCTTACATACAACTCCTCGTTATAAAAATGAGAAATAAGTGGTGTTGTACAGCCCTGTGGGATGGCAGCTGTTTAAGAGACAGCTTGAAACTGGCTTTCTGGAAGGAGGGAGGCCCTTTGCTGTAAGTGAGGCTTGCCAAATTGGCTGGATTCCAGCAGCAGATTTCCAGCTGGGAAATCTTAAAGGGCAACTCACCTAGTGATGCGCACACCGGGCAGGCACAGGCAGCAGCAACAGCAGGGCCCCGTGCTGATCTTGAAGTGGCCATTTTCAAACCGTTTCAGGAACAGCTTTTGACCCCCACATTCTTTAATCATCATCATCAGGAACTTGTGGATAACTATGGCAAAAAATCTAGGAGGGGAAGAAAGAGCCAGCTTAAGCTTTCCTGCCTGTCTCTCATACACCTCTGCCAGACCCATGCAGGTTTCTTAAACCTTCAGTCCACATTTTTTAAAGTTTGTGCCTCAGAATAAGCAGAAAGCCCAGCACCAGCTTTGAAAAATCTGCAGGTCTTTCCCTAAGTGTGCTGGTGGCTTTTCCAGCCCTAGTCATTACAGACATTACCACTTATCTAGTCCTGACTTGCTCAAACTTTTCAAAGCAAGTCCTCTTCCTCCTCTTAAAAACAAGACAAGCAAAACCCACATGGCTAGGTTTGTTTATGTATTTACCTAACATCCTATGTGCCGCCCCAGTTAGGGTGCAGTCCCTCTGCACACAAATCTGATCCAAGCAGTGATTACTGCAGCCTCACCTCTCCTGTCGCCAACAGCATGTTCTCAGCCCTTCCATGAACAACAGACAGTGCAGCCACCCTTTCCTCCTGATCCCATACCGTATTAAGGAACTGATTCACCAAAATCCAGTCCCATCAAATAAAGGAGGTCCTCTTCAGCTGCGGTAACTCCTTGAAGGAGCTTGTAGAGCAGCTGGAGAAGTGGGAGTAGTAGGAAAGGGGAGGAAATGGGAACTTGCAGCTTGGACAAGGGAGGAGAGAGATTGAAATGGGCTAAAAGTGCCATAGGACTGGGTCCTCAGAAGTCCTGCACTACCTGGACAAACTGTGGTGCAGTAAAAGCCCCACCAGCTTGTTTTCCATCTTTCTTTACTCTGTTCTCTTTGCACATGCAGCGCGACATGGGCTGGGGCCACGCAGGAGGCTCTGCGATGCGGTTCTGCAGTGGTTCCAAAACCACCCCAGCCCTTCTAGAGCACCCAAGGCTTCCCACACCTGATTCGGTTTATGGAAGCTGCCCCATTGCATCCAGAAAGTGGAGACCATGCTTCATTCTGTTCTGTATGTCAGAGCTGTCACATGTACAGATAGGGCTTTTATCAGGACAACTGTGGAGCATTTTTACATTGATACGCTCACTGGAGGTTCATTTGCCACTGTTAATAATAGATCTATGCAGCTCATCATTAATAAAAGCACAGACGAGAAGCCACAGGTCAGAATCTCATTCTACATGACACTCAGAGAGAGAAAGGAAAGGGTATTATTTCAAAACTACCATCAATCAAGACGATCAATTACATGCAAGTCACTGTTCTTCATGCTGACATTCCCACACTAGGGGGCTGCGGTGCTGGGAAATGCTTCAGCATTTTCCACCTCTCATAAAGGAGATGCCATGAGATTTCAACTTAAACCAAAAATTACTAAATTGTTAAATTTACAAAATGATTGTGTTTACTAAGAGTAGCAGATGTTTAAAGGGAAGAAAAGAAGGGTCTGGGGCAATATCTAGGAAGGAGCAGAATACTCACACTGATGCTGTGAAATCTGTAAACATTGTTGAGCGAGGAATCCACATGCCAATGCATGAGGTTGTAGCAATCACCTACAGAGAAAGGGAGGAGGGTTGTATGGAGGGTAGAGGTAAAGCAGGGTCATGTGGATTTCCAGGGAAAGGTTATTTTCAGCATTATTTTCCACAACACTTACTGGAGCTGCAGCATTTATCCAAATTAAAATGGATCTTCTGGAGGAGGGGATTTTCCTGTAGATGTAGATCACTTCTTCTATAAATACCAGATTGGCAATTAGTGTCATCAGAGTCAAGATTGCAAAGAGAAATTTACCAGCTAAGTCAAGGCCTACAGAAAGAGAAAAAAAGAGAAAAGAAAACAAACAAAAATCTGATTCATACATTTCATATATTCATGCACTTTGAACATTTAATGTAAAAACGGCATCTTGGTGGGACATCTTAGTCCTGTTCCTGAAAAGTCAAATGCCAAAAGTGCATTGAAGCTGGAGCCGGGCTCCTTCCAGTGGTGCCCAGTGCCAGGACCAGAAGCAGTGTGCACAAAATGGGGCACAGGAGGTTCCCTCTGAATACCAGAAGTACTCCTGTGCTGTGCAGGTGACGGAGCGCTGGCACATTCTGCCCAGAGGCTGCGGGGTCTCCTCCCTGGAGATCTGCAGATGTCCAGATGTGGGTCTGGCACCCTGCTCTGGGTGTCCTGCTGGGGCAGGGTTTGGGCCAGATGGACCCAGAGGGCTCTGCCAACATCAGCTGCCATGTGATCCTCTGATTCATCCTTAGCTACAGCCATGGACCACTCGCTCCAGAGGATGATTCAAGTAGTTAAGTTTGTGAATAAATTTTCCCAGAATCCAGAGGAAGCATCCAGAAAGGATATGCCTCAAAGCATCATGCAAAAGTCCCTTCGAGAAGGGGAATTCTAGGACCAACGTTCTTAGAGTAACAGAGGTTGTTCTAGGAGCTTAACCAAGCAGGTTACAAACAGCAACATATCTACATACATCAGTTCTTTGCTTCCCTTACTAGTCCAAAGGCGCGTTTGTGCATCACTTCCTTATGCGCACAGAGTCCTCGGAGGCTCATTGGGAGTTTTGTGGGGTAGGAGAACACCGTCAGGCCAAAGCCTCCCCGCCCACACCCGCGTTCCCTCTCTCCTCGCCGAGGCGGCTGCGGGCTGCCCTCCCTCCTCCCCTCCTCTCTTCCCCGCAGCCTTCGCCATGGCAACCCCTTCGGCCCTCGCCCTCTCAGCGCCGCTCCCTTCGGGCTGCTCGGGGATTCCCTCTCCCGGCGGCCGCACTTACTCCCCAGCAGCTCCTGAGCGTAGGGCGGCTCGCTCTCGCCGCAGGACGTCAGGAAGGTGCCGTTCGCCTCGCCCTCCATGACGGCGCGCTGCCCCCCGGGCGTCGGCGGAACGGGGAGAGAGCGGGGAGCCGCCGTCCGCCCCGGGCAGTGCGGGAGCAGCGATGCACGCGGCCCGGGGCGGCCGGGAGAGGTTAATGATTAGCGCCGAGCCGCGCTCCGCGCTGCCTCCTGGCGCCCAGCGGTCGGGAGATGGCTGTTTGTACGGCCGCCGCAAAGCGCTTCCTAAAGGCTTCCCGAGGAGTCCTCCACCAAGGGTTTTTAGTTGATTTTGGCTGGGAGGAGAGGAGAAGCAGCGCTTTTTTATGTGCTGGCTGAAGGAGAGCAAGTGGAAGGTGGGAATGCGCCAAGTACTTCTGTGCCGTGCGGGTGATGGAGCGCTGGCACAGGCTGCCCAGAGGCTGTAGGGTCTCTTCCCCGGACACCAGCAGATGTCCTTGCTTATTTCAGCTGCTGGGAGGATCTCTGCAGCATCTGGAGCCTGTGCTGGGCATCACCTTCAGGTTGTTTCCTAGAAAAGGGAATGGGTAATGCATCCCCACGGACTGGAACAGGCTGCCCAAAGAGGCTGTGGAGTTTGCTTCTCTGGAGATGCCCCAGTGCCACCTGGATGCCTTCCTGTGTGACCTGCTTTAGCACTGGGCTGGGCCGGGGTGATCTCCAGAGGCTCCTTTCAGCCCATACAGTGCTGTCATTCTGGATAGTCAGACTGAAAGCTCCAGTTAGGATTTGCTGAGATGGAAAAATGGCCAAAGGTCTTTGAAGCTGCCCTACAAACAAAGACAACAGGGTCTTTGTCATCTGCTGCACTCCCTGAAAGCTAAAAAGAACAACTCCTTTCCAAGGAAACCCTTCTTCGAATGAGATGGATTTGTCAATGCTTTTGTTAAAGAAACACATACAGTAAGGATAGGAGTGACAGAACTCACAGATGTTTTATCATATTTAAAAGAAAACTGGAGTCTGCTTTGCCTTCACAGTTTCTTGAAGAATCCACACAGTAACGCTTCTGGATTTTACTGTCATATTTTAGTTATTCAGCAACAACAGTTGGAACAAATACTGCAGCATACACTGAATAATAGAGAATCTCCTGTCTTGTGACCCTATAGAAGTGTAACTGGTGCAAGTTTAAAAGTTAGAGATTCATTTTCAACTGCTTCTGTAGAAATCCATCTTCCTCTCTCTTCTGCTGGAGTCAGGCAGTATGATGTCTTAAACTTACATACCTACTGCAGTTTCTTCTTGTTAGAAACACCATTTGTCATCTTTGGTCCAAACATCATCTCTTCCTCACCCAGTTTCTTGGGACAAAAGAATTGCCTGACAGACCTTAATCTTAATAAATCAGGCTGAAGAGCACACCATGACACCTCAGCCACCACAGTGGGAGATCTGCTCTCTGCAATCTTCCTCAGCCCCAGCTCTCCATCAGCACCCTCTCAACACTGGCCTCTAAGACAAATGCAGGTCTGTAGGCTGATGCCAAACCCTTCAAATCCCCAGGAGCTAAAGTTAATTTTGCTCCCAGCTCTGCTATTCCACTTTTTAGTTTAACACTTTAGTCAAATGCATGGTATATTCCACAAAAACTTAGCTCTAGTAGTAGAGAGGTATTTATAAGCCAGTCACTAGCCACTTAAATGCATCAAGAAATTTATAGAGGTACTCAGAATAAAAAACACCTGTAATCAAAGCTCCCTGCCTCTGTTTACTGGGGGTTTTTGAGTATTTTGTGGTTCAGCTCCCCTCCAAACACAGTACTGCTCAGATTTGTTTCTTATTAGGGAACATGCCCCTTTGTTGCTATTGCTGCTTCTCTTTTGAAGGCCAGCAGACGTTTATCTTATCTCTTAGTGATGATGACTTTCACTTTCACCTGCCTCACTGGTATAACAGCTTTCTCCCAGCTGCTTGTGTGCTTCCATAGTGCAGTCAGAAGGAGCTGGTACCACCTTTGCCTTCTCCCTGGAATAGGCATGCTGGCCTTCAGAAGGCAACACAGCCCCTTAGTCACATTACGGGGGTCCAAGCCTGTCTGGACATCCCAATGCCAATCCCAATCCCAGTCCTGACTCATCAATGGAGTGACTCATCAATAGGAGATCCTGTGAGCTATCTCAGGACAAGGTCTTAAACTCCATCATGTAGAACATATAGGCTAAGCTGTTATGGTTGTAGGGGAATCTAGCAGACATCATTATCAGTGCAGTCAAAGAACGTTCCTGGGGGATAAATTATATTCAGCTGAGTTCAAGCTAATAAGAAAAGTTGATATTAGAAAAATAGATCAACAGTTTCCAGAGCCATAGAAATGTGTATCAGATTTCCCAAAATTCTGGATACCCAACCAGTCAAGAACAGTCAGCTAAAATTATACAGTTCCCAAAAGCTTGTACAAGCCAATTTTAATAATGAAATTAAATCTGATTTCTCAGGTACAATATATTATGGAGTTGAATTTAGATGCAACATAACCTTTTCCTGGTAAAGCCATTCTCTTTTCACCTACTGCCAGTAATAAATTGGAAATTTCAGAAAAGGTGGCTCATTAATATAAGATAAAGAAGACCTGTGCCACAGTTAGATAATTTAATATTGGGATTTTCTGTTATTTGGATCCTGGCAGCAATTAAATACAGTTGAGAAATACAGTGACAATATGAAACTGTGATTTTCATGCCTATTCAGCTGGACAGATTTCCAAGTAAAAAAAAAGAGTATCAGGTGTGCCAGAAGCTTTACAACTGTGCTTTTAGGATGAAAGCTTAGGCAGAGATTTTTACTCTACATCTGTACAGGAGCAGTAAAAGAGAAAAGAGCGGGGCTTGCATTAAAGCTGAAGCTAAATAGGAGTTTGATTTTATCTCACTACCAAAAAAGCAAATCAGTTTCTGGCAGTCAAAGTATATGAGAAAAATAAAGAAGCAGAATCAATCTATCTATCTTATTTTTGTTGTATGTTGTTACATTTTCAAACAGGTAGCAGTAATTATTGCCTCACCTTGCATTTTTAAAGTACCTTATGAGCAATTGGATGTGATGGTAGAAGAAGAGAAAGGAAATCACAGTACTTCCCAGTAGAACAAAGAGCTGACAGAACCTTATAAAATTAGGACCCCAAATTGATGGTGAGGGCAGTTAGCCAATAATCAGCATCCTGAGGTAGAATAGAGGCAGGAAGTGCATTTTCTCTGCCATTGCTGTGATAAAGTACATAAATTTGATTGCAGAGCTTTTCAGCAATGGAAGAGGGTTTTTATCCCCAAAGGAGTGTTGATGAGCGGTAAGACAAATACATTTTAAGGACCAAGTAAGTGCCATTTTGTGAGCATCTCCTATGTGGCCAAGGACAGTGATGGGTAAAGACAAACCTCACGGATCTCCAGCATCATGAAGGATAGATTAGGATTAAGACGTTCTTTCCCTAGTGTAAATTTCTGTAGTTGTTTTTTTTCTTTTTCCTCCCCAGTCTTAATTTATGATCCCCAAATTCTAGAAGATGGCTGACAAGATTTTTGTGAATTAAGGGACCTCTTTATGGAGCAGGTTATCAAGTGTCGGTACAGCTATGCTCAAGGTGATGCTTTACAGCTGTTTCCCAGAGAGGAAAGTAGGGGTCTCTTTGCAAGGTATAATGTTATTCCACTGGAAGAAATTGTCAGGCACTCTGCAGTTAATGACTAAGTCTGCTTTTACCACAGCAGCTAGGTGCTGGGCAAGACAGGTCATGCAATTCTTCCCACAGGTTTTAACATGACAGAAATGCTTTTTTCTCCTCCTGAATTGCTTTTACTGGGAAGAAGAAAAGAAGAAATAGAAAACAAAGCATACACACGCAACTGTAAAGCTGTAATATAATAACAAAAGAAGCAAGACAGAACAGCCTTGAAAACTAGGTGTATGTTGACCTCTGTAAGAAGCAGACCTCGCAGAAGAAAATAAGAAATACATGTACATGTATGAATGCAAAACATCAGCGTGGGTTTTAGTCACACTACCAGTGAGACTGCCTGTGCCAATAGCTCGAGCACTGTGTGCATGCAAAATCAAAGCTACGTTCTGAAACCGTACTTTTTACCCTTATATAAGCACAGTCTATGAAATTCTGAAGCTCAGTTTGTGAGTGATGTTACAAGTAGAAGCTAGTGAACTTATTGCATGCTTATATGATCTGCTTCCTTGTCCTCCAGAATGAACGTTATTTGTTGCTTTCCAAGTAGCGTTGAAGATGAGCTCAGAAATCAGAAGCATAATGCTGGTTTTGGTTTGATGCTATTTGAAATTTACCCGAGTTTCACATCTGTCCATATATGCACAGGAAGTTCCTGGTTTTAAAGACATACTGAAACCCAATGTCTGAGTTTGCACTGAATTGTGAAGGTGAAAGAAGAGCACAGACATGCTTCAAATGGCACTCAGTTTTGAATTTTTGTCTTGCAGTACACAAATACACAGACTGAGCCAATGGGTGCAGTGGGAGAGATTCTGGTGGAGGTATAGGATCATCTGGAACAGTCTGACTAGAAAGAAAAAGAAAGATCATTCAAATAAACATTAGACACATTTGTAATAGCTGAAAAAACGATTCTCCAGAAGAAAACTGACAGGTTTCAGTCAAAAACCAAAACTGAACAACTGTATGGTTTAAGATGTTACAAACTAACATGGAAAACTAGACCAAATTATTAAATTATTAGCAGAAATACAGATCTTGTGAATATAATGAAGTAGATTCACTGTGGCTGTGATTGGGCAGACGTGTTGGGTAGACTGTTGTGATTTATACCAAAGTATAGGGTGATAGGACTCATTTACAGAGAAACATACTGCATAACTGTGTTACCTGTATTTATAGTAGCCAAAAGATGGCTTCAAACCAGCTTATTTCTTGAACATAAAGAACCACAATGACTGTAAATCTTAGCAGCTCTTAGAGGTTACAGCAAGAAATCTGTGACTGTCCAAAGACAAAATGGAGTCACAATACAAAATTATTACAAAAAGTCCTCAAGGAATAATTGAAAGAACAGGCTCATACCACCTTTAAAACAAGTTGTACGGCTATAGTGAGCACATATATATATTCAGAAGTTTTATTTTCTGTGTGCTTCTGTCCTCTAAACCTTCATCTGAAATCTAACATCCATGATTTCATATCTGGTGCTATTAAAAAGAATGTAGAAAAAATGCCACCTTCAAGTGCAGTTCTACCCAAGCAACACTGACGT